GTGACAGTGCATCTTATAATGCAGAGCGCCTAATAGTACAGAAAATACGGTATTTTTGTACAATTTATCGCGTAAAAATGCATGACGTATGAACAATGATAATAAAAAACACTATTTATTTAAACAGTAGAACATGATTTTCAACTTTTTTATAGTAGTACTTTCTTTTATATTGGTCTTATATCTGTGTAATGTAGATTTTTATATGCTCTTATGCTTATTCGGATGCAGTTCAAGCTCATTTTGAAGCAGGAAAAGTATTGATACCTGCTCAAGTGAGTATCTAGTTTCGATACTAGCTTCAGCATCATTTAGTATCCGTCTTTCGATATTTTTTAAAAGCCTGTGTCGCAATATTGCAACACTACTCACTCACAGACAGAGAAATTTCCTGTTTTTTATTACTAAAATGTGAAAACTTTGGCAAATATTAGTCATGTTTTTCCTTTTCTATTTCAGTCTTGTTTTGGTCTTGGTTGAGTTTATATTTTGGCACAGTTTGGTTTAATTTGACCTTATTGTGTTAAAATCTTTTATTCGCCAGTGATTGTGCACCCCACGTGAACCGAACTGTGAACATAGCTCCGCCGAAACATGTGCCATCTCCTCTCCGCTCATTGATACCGTATTGAAAAGCCGGCCACGTGACCAGCCTCCATTTAACCTAACTAACAATTTCTCAGTAGGAATGCACTTAAACTCCCCCCTCCCGCCGCCCCACACGCGCATTTCGCTGTAGTCATGGCGTTTAAAAGCGTCTCTCTTCGTTGTCCTCATCCTCCTCCTCCTCCTCCTCTCCGACTCTCCCTCGCTCCAAACGTGATCTGGCTCTTTGTTATTGCTCTGCTGTTGTATACACGGGACTGCGCCAAAGCCGGCCGTGTGAGGCAGCCGGGGAACTATGTCAAGGGTCCATGTGAGAAGCTGGTCAGGTGGCAGTCAGAGAGAGAGAGAGAAGAGAGAGAAGAGAGAGAAGGAGGGAGGGAGGAGAGAAAGAGAGCTGGTTTCAGAGCATGTCTCTTGCACCATTCTAGTTTTGAATGCATTGATTGAATAAAACATAATGAAGAAGTGTGTCAAAAATGCAAATCGGGTGTGTAAAATATGATAATAATCATAATGTATTTTTCTTTTTTTTTTCTTTATAATTTGTCAAGATTGAGAGATTGAATACCCAGCACATCCACAAAAAGACTGACTTAACTAAATATAAAATATAAAATAAAATAAATATAAAACTAAATATAAAACACGCATACAAAAAATTAATAAATAAATAATAATAATAAATTAAATTAAATTAAATTAATAATAATAATAATACAAAAAAATATTTTTTTTTGGTTTAGGTTAAATTAATTTTCTAGACTGTAAAATGAACAACAAAAATGCAGAAATTGTGTTTTTAATCACATTTTGCACTGGTAACGATAATGCATGGTCTTCTGTATTTCTAAATTCTAGTGATTTGCTTTAAAATAAAATCACATTTCAAAAATATTATAGATTTTGCATTATTAACAATGTGTTAAAAATACATTTAAAAAACCACACATACTTCTATAGGGATTATTTTTAGTCCTGTCTGCAGAGCTCAAATTACAGGATTAGACCTGGTTTATTTTTAGTCATGGTTTAGCCCTGTTTCAAAACTGGTCTGCTCTTTGTTATTGTTCAGTTCTGGAGTCTAGACCTGTTTCAAATCCTGGTTAGAATCCAGTTTTGGCTCCGCATTTTTGCAGGCACCAAAAATTTCTCTCGTTTGTTTCGTCGCAGTTTGCAGTTGGATCAGCCCCGGTTCAGTCCATTATTTCTGGCTGAGATCTGGCACGAGGCTGGATTAGAGAAAAGAGGGCTGGAGAGGAGGGAGCGAGGCGAGTGGTGGATGCAGGGGAGGAGGGCGGGCGCGAGGGAGGGAGGAGGAGAGGGAGGGGGAGGAGCCAGCGCACGTGAGGGGCGGGGTCACACCCAGAGGGAACATAGACTGAAAACAAGAGCCTGTGTCTGCCTTCTGCCGCTGCTCTACTGCTGCTGATGTATTTCCCATTACGAGACCTTCAAAACAGCACTTTGTTTATGTCCAGATTCTAATCTAAAGTACAAGGAGTAATGTTTGATATTTGGGCTGCAAAATAGAAAAACATGCACACATCCAAATAATATATGATCAGAATGTAAATAGGAAAAGGATATGGACTATACGTAAAGATAAGACCGGGTCAGGACTGGGCCAGGGCTAACGCAGGACTGAAACAGGACTAAAGCTGAAACAGGACTAAAACAAGGACTAAAGCAAGACTGAAACCAGGACTAAAACAAGACTGAAACAGGACTAAGACTAGACTAAAATTGGACTAAGATTGGACTAAAATTGGACTAAGATTGAATTAAACCTGAACTAAACCAAAACTAAAGTGGGACTAAAATAGGATGAAGATTGGAATAGAATTGGACTAAAATTGGGCAAGGATTGGCCTAAAATTGACTTAAAATTGGCCTAAGATTGGACAAAACCTGAACTAAACCAAAACTAAAATGGGACTAAAATAGGACAATGACTGGACTAGAATTGGTCTAGAATTGGACAAGGATTGGCCTAAAATTGGATGAAGATTGGACTAAAATGGGACTAGGATTGGACTAAGATTGGACTAAACCTGGACTAAATGTTGACTAAATCAAGATTTAAGCTAAGAATATACCAAGGACTGAACCATGGACTAAATCTAGGGCTAGACCAAGGACTCAACCAGGGCTAGACCTAGACTAGGCCAGCCCCAGAGCAGTTGCGATTACACTGTCAAACCTGTATTTACTTTATTCAAATAAAACCCTGAATGAAAGATGGAGCTGTTTAGTTGGAACGTTGCTTGTGTGTTTTCAAATGGCAATAACTTTATGAATCGTAATCCAAATATTTATCAAAGAAGAGATTAGAAATGTAGAGTGGGTGAGAGGGTTCACGGGTCAGCAGTGTTGGCGTTTTTCGTTTCTGTTTTGAATGCTCGCTCCGTGTTCTGCTATTGCGACGTGAGCCAAGTTTAAGATCAACAAGTGAATGGAAGCGAGTGCCAAGAGTGCAGTGGTGAACGTGAACAGTGAGATGGAGAATGTGGTGCAAGGCCTGGTTTTTCTGGTTTATAATTCACTTAAACCTATTTTGTTTCTGATTTTGGGGTAAATGATTAAACGATGCAGGACTAAACTGAACAAGGATTAACCATAATTACCAATAAATTTGAAATCATTTTACAGAAGGGTGAAGGGGCACCAAAAGCAAAGAGTAAAGCAAAGAGTGGAAATAAACTGGATCCGAACAGGACTGAACCAGGACTAAACCTGGACTAAAATTGGAATAAAACTGGACTAGAACTGGACTAAAATTGGACTTAAATTGGAATAAAACTGGACTAAAGAAGATTCAAGCCAAAACTAAACCACAAAGTAAAAGTATTCTCAATTAAGTTAACTAGGACTAAACTGGGACTAAACCGGGACTAAACTGGGACTAAAACAGGACTAAAATGGGACTAAACTGAGACTAAAAGGGGACTAAAACTGGACTAAACCAGGATTTAACAAAATCCAAACCAGAACTAATCCATAAAGTAAACTATTCTCAATTACGTTAACTAGGACTGAACCAAGACTAAAACTGGACCAAACCTGGACTATACCTGGACTATACCTAGACCTGGATTTAACAAGATCCAAAGCAGAACTAAACCATGAAGTAAACTATTCTCAGTTAAATTTACTAGGACTAAACCAGGACTAAACCGAAGCTAAAACTGGACCAAACCTGGACTATACCTTGACTATATCTGGACTAAAACTGGATTTAACAAGATCCAAACCAGAACTAAACCATGAAGTTAACTATTCTCAATTAAATTTACTAGGACTAAATGAGAACTAAACCAGGACTAAAACTGGGCTAAAACCTGGACTAAACCTGGACTAAAACTGGATTTAACAAGATTCAAACCAGAACTAAACCATGAAATTAACTAGGACTAAACAAGGATTAAACCAGGATTAAACCACGACTTGACACGATCCAAACCAGGACTAAAAACCCCTCTGTACAGCTGAGTTCCCCTCAGTTTTGGGCCGTGTGCACTGCTCGACGTGCTGTTTGGCTGTTTGCGTGGCTTCCTGCCAAAAGTGAGTGAATAAAAGTAGGCCAGGCTCTGCTCCACTTCACTCTCACCCTTTACTATTGTTGTTGTTCTCAAGACGATATCTGCACATCAATAACGTCAATAAAGTCCAGGTTTTATTCCACGAGTGCTGATAGGAGCACACGTTCGCTTCCAATTATTTTTTCCTGTTAGGTTCAAAATACTGCCTCAATTCAGAATACTTTGTGTCTTTCTGAAATTTGCGAATATATTGTGACTAAACCAGGACTAAAACAGGACTAAAACAGAACTAGACTGGGACTAGATCAGGGCCAAGGATCTGACCAAGACCTAACCAATATCTACCCAGGACCTAACCAGGACTTGAAATAAATGACTAAACCGGGACTAAACCGAGACTAAAAGGAGACTAAAACAAGACCACACCAGAACTAGACTTGGAGTAGACTAGAACTAGACTTGAACTAGATCAGGGCCAAGCTAGAACCAAGCCAGGATCTGACCAAGACCAAACCAAGACCTAACCAGGACCTAACCAGGACTTGAAATAAACAAGGACTTAACCAGGATTTAATCAGGACTAAACCAGGGGTAAAGCAGGACTAAACTGGGACCACACCAGAACTAGACTTAGACTAGATCAGGGCCCAGCCAGGATCTGACTAAGACCTAACCAGGACTTGAACTAAACAAGGACTTAACCAGGACTTAACCAGAACTAAACCAGGACTAAACCAGGACCACATCCGTTGTATTAAATAAAATAATATTATGCGTTCGTCTGTATTTGATAAAACATAGAATTGTAAGTTTTGGTCAAACATACTGAGGGGATGTTGTCGTTTCTGTGCCCAGGTGGAGTGATCCTGTACGCAGGCTCGTCGGGCAGCGCCAGCCCCAGCCCAGGCAGTCCCTCCAGCGGGTACCAGACCCAGTCCCCCTCCTGCCACTCCCAGCCCTCTTCACCCGAGGGGGGAGTGTCTTTCCAGGAGATCGGGGCCCTGAAGCAGCAGCCGACGCAGAGGGGGGAGCAGAGGGCGGAGCAAGGGGGAGGAGCCACGCCCAAAATGGTCTTTCAGTTTCCTGAAGTCAACAATGCCCCCGTCGCCCACATCTCCAACGCTCCATCTGCCAACTACAGCCACCCCCCTGCGGCAAAAAAACAGTGCACTTTCAGCGGGACTTTCACCAGTAAGTCCACTCCGAATTCTCAGCGTTACTCATTCAAATTATCCATTGTAATTCTGAAATTTCCCATTATAATATGGACGTAATCTGACATCTGTGTTTTTATTTTGTGAAAAAAACGTTGAAGCTTTGCAAACCACTCTACTGCATATCACTTCGAAGAGTAGTTTTTTTTTCTGACATAGTACTTTTGCAAAACGTGAGCAACCAAAAATAAACTTCATTCACAATTTGGGCTAGGCTATCCGCCCTAGATCAAGGTCTTACCCATGACTAAACGGGACTAAACCAGACCTATAATGGAACTTAAAAGCCAGCAGTAACAGGTCTAAAAACTGGAAATGCAATTATGAAAACCAGTTCTTAAGATTAAACTATGACTAAATCAGGCCCAAACTAGGACGAAACTAGAACTAAATCAGGCCCAAACTAGGACTAAACCAGAACTAAACCAGGTCTAAACTATCCTTTGCCTTACAGAGACTGGAGGGATGGTGCTGCTGTGTAAAGTTTGCGGGGACATCGCGTCGGGGTTCCACTACGGAGTCCATGCGTGTGAAGGCTGCAAGGTAATAACAAAAAACATTTCATTTTTCTAATTCCAATCATCATTATTAAAGCTGTACTATGTAACTTTTCTGGCAGTGGGATAGCCTTCCTGCTATTTTGCCTGGAATGTTCCCCAATTTGGCATTAAACTTTGTTTTTAGGTAATTTTTGTAACGTGATAACCTTGAATTCTTTAAAAACACGCATTCTTACTTAGGGTTGGGTGGCATTAAGAAGTTGCCGATACCTCGATACATAGGCCACGATACGATATATACCTTGATATATTTCAAATCAATTCGATATGGTTCAATAAAAAATAATGACTAAGTGATGTCTGTGATACTAAAAGTTTTTGTTAAATCACTTTTTGTGAAAAGTTCATATGAAAAACAAACATTTTAATCATCGAGACTGAAGTGAAAATGCCAAATGTGTTGCATAAATGAGTTTCCTTCCTCTAAACAAGCAACAAAACTGTAGCTCTGTAACAAAATAATTTGGTAAAATAAACCAAAAAATATTCTTGGTGATATATCAATACAGCAGCCCACAATATTGATACTGTATCACATTAAACGATACGATATATCAATATTTCAATATTTTTGCACACCCCTATTCTTACTGTGATTGGACTTGCCTCTCCACAGATCTGACCTGTAATGCCATACTGTGGAACATTACAAAAATACATTGAACTGAATGGAAATAATATTGTTGGAGTTTTCAAATTGACATCAGGGCTTCACAAAACTACAGCCGACTGACACAGCGCCAGAAAAGTTACACAGTGTGCCTTTACGAAAATGTTTCAAGTTAGTTTTGACCTTTTTGTCCCTCTTGTTTGGCCGTTGTAGGGTTTCTTCCGGCGCAGCATCCAGCAGAACATCCATTATAAGATGTGTGTGAAGAATGAGAACTGTCTGATCATGAGGATGAACCGAAACCGCTGCCAGCACTGCCGCTTTAAGAAGTGCCTGTCCGTGGGCATGTCCCGGGATGGTGAGGGCACATACCACCTTACACCAAAGACACCAGATACACCAAAGACACCAGATACACCAGATACACCAGCGACACCACCCGCATGACATGGAAATGAGCCACTGACAAGAAGCACACAAATCAAATGTAGTGAAATGACTGGGATTAGTTTTCAAAATATACTTAAGATGCACTCACTTCTGCACAATCAGCATCAGAATTTGGGTTAAACCAGGACTTAAACCAAGACTCAGCTAGGCCTAAACCAGGTCTGAATCAGGACTGAAACCAGGTCTAAACCAAGACTCAACTAGGACTAAATCAGGACTGAACCAGGACTAAACTAGGTCTAAACCAGATCTAAACCGGGGCTAAACCTGGACTAAACCAGCTGTAAACTAGCTGTAAACCAGGTCTAAACCAGGTCTAAACCGAGACTCAACTAGGTCTAAGCCAGGACTGAATCAGGACTAAATCAGGACTAAACCAGCTCTAAACCAAGACTAAACCAGGACTGAATTCAAGACTAAACCAGCTCTAAACCAAGACTAAACCAGGACTGAATCAGGACTAAATCAGGACTAAACCAGCTCTAAACCAAGACTAAACCAGGACTGAATTCAAGACTAAACCAGGTCTAAACCTGGAGAAAAAACCAAGACTAAAACCAGGACTGAACTAAACCAGGACAAAGCCAGGACCAGTCTAGCAGTACGTCTTCATAATTCTGAAAAATATTTAAACATTTGAGGTTATAAAAATGTACTTCTAGCGCAACTAATACTACAAATATTGTACTTATATGAATGTGGTCATTATTAGTTGACAAATGATTTACTAATTAACCAAAATTTGAAAAAGCCTGATGTTTTTTTTATAATTTAAACCAAATCCCAACCCGTCAAAACTGCTTCTTTATGAGTATTATTTTTGGAGCAACAGTTCTTCCACTGACTCTCTCCGCTCTGTGGACAGTAGGTCGCTCTCAAGCCTGAGCTCAAATTTATGCAGCTTTAGCAAGATGGGACAAAATGTTCCGCTAGTGAAACCAGGTTACCCCCTCCCCTCTCCCCCTCTCCCCCTCTGTCCCTCTCTCTTGGGGAATCGCCCAACTTGCTTTGCCTTACCCCCTCTCTCCTCCTTCCTGTGTCCCGGTTGGTCCCTTCTTCCTCTCCCCTCCTCTTCCTGATTTATGGTCCGAGCATCCACCGCGTCCCTGTAGTCATCCGTCATGCCAAAAATAGTTTATATTGGGAAATTGGGGCACAGACTTTTGTTGATTGCCTCCTACGACACAGACAGTGACAAGGAGCCGGTAGGAACAGTCCATGCCGGCCTCATTAATAATTAATCCGGGAGGTGTTTACTTATGTGTTTAAATTTGAATAAAATGGCTGTAGCGTCAGTGTGTGTGATCTCAGGGGAGGGGATGGAAGCGGGCGCTCATAAATCACCGGCGTTTCTGGAGCAAACATTTTTAGTTGACCCAAAAAAGCCCAAATGCAGGTGAAAAATGGCTAATGCAGAGGCAAGCAAGTTTTATCTAACAAGGAGGGATTATAAAACGAGGTCCATGACAACAACTTTGCGTGTCCTTTTTGTTCAGTTAAAGCTGCACTGTGGAACTTTTCTGGAAGGTGGACTGTCACCTGCTCGTATCCATGGCGATGTTATTGTTCTTCCTGGAATACTGCACAGTTGAATTCTGCTTTTAAAAGACCATGTAAAGACTTAATTCCTAATGAAAATGATTATTTGGTATTAAGGATGTGACAGTAACTGAAATATCGTGATATCGTATCGTCAAAAGTCTCACAAAAAATATCATGGGCTGTCACAATATACAGAATTAAAAGTTCCTCTGCTTAAATGCATGGGTTTATAATAGCAACAGCTTATGAATGTCAGAAACTACATATCCCAAAGGAGAATATTTTAATTCCAAAGTATTTAATTGAGAACAGTTAAAAAACATCATGTAAACATGGCCAGTATGATGTTAAACTTATAGATCATGTATTTATACGTGAAAATTAGTTGAGCATAATGCTGTATTGTGGAACACTGCAGACAAAGCAATAACATCACCACAGAAACGAGCACAAACGTTCCATTGTGAACCTTTAAAACTGGTGACTAGCAGACATTTTGAGGCGTGACAGTCTCTGTGGTCCATAAACATCATCACAAGTATCTTTTACTTGGTTCATTAAGTCATTTTTGCATAGGCATAGAGGTGCTTTTATGTCAGGTGCCCTTCCAAATCCAAATGTGATACCTGTAAAAACATGGATTCATACCTATTGGGGATGCCTTTCCACAGATCTGACTTGTAACTAGGCCTGGTCACTCTTTGTTTTCATGAATATACAGTAGATAAGCTCAATGCCATTCCGTGGAACATGCAGGCAAAGCAATAACATCTCCTTGGCGACGATCAGCTGGCAGAACCTTGACCATAAAAGTTCCACAGTGGCCATTTTAATGACATCACATGGGGTTGTTGACCCAGTGGCCTAGTTGCAGTGATGGGAGGAGGAGGAGGAGAGGGGCAGAGGAAGAGGAGGAGGAGGAGAGGAGGAAGAGTTGCTGCAGAGGCTATAAATAGGGCTGTCAGCCAGAGGAGGTGCAGCGGTGAAGGGGGGAGGGGACCAGGAGCCAGAGATCTATAAGGGGAAGAAATGTGGATAATATTGGTGTTATCAGAATCAAATCTAAATAGTGGTGTCATTGAATAGTGGAATTGCACAAGAGTTCTTTTAGCTCAGGAGGAGAAATTCATGAGATGATGTGGTCAAAATTGCGCAATTCTAAATGAGGATTAAATTGCATGCAGACGAGGTCCAAAGTCTAAAGAGGAACTGAACCAGGAATTAAAATCGGGACTAAAACCTGAACTAGAACCTTTCTCTAGAACCTTTGACTAAAACCTTTCACTAGAACCTGAACTAGAACCAGGGCTAGAACCTGGATAAACTAGGACTGGACCAGGACTAGAATATGCTAAAATACCATTTGTAATATTAAACAGAACTAAACCTGGATTAAACCTAAACTGGGACTAAACCAGGATCAAAGTCTAGAATGAGGACTAAACCAGATCTAGCCCGACACCTACACCAAATGACGTCACAGTACATTGTAAAGCACCAAACTGAATGGATACTATGTTAAACTAGTTCCATAAACAGCTGTGATGCGCAGTTGAAGCCCGGTTGAATCCCGGTTGAAGCCTGGTTGAATCCCGGTTGAAGTGTGGTTTCATGATGGGAGCGCTGGTAAATCCCGCAGATTAAAGCAGTAGTTTCAGAGGAGGAGAGAGTTACAGATGGTCAGTGTAAAAGACAAGCTGCCAGTGTCAAAGTGTCCACTGCCAGAACACAGCGTCGAGAATACGCACTCATTCAGTAAGAAGTCGATTACAACGGAGGGTTCAAATTTATCTTATCATCTTATTAAAACCATTGACTACTTCATATACTGGTGATAGGTGTGCAATCTTCTTTTCTTGGCTGCAGTTGTGCATATAAAATCATCGGCTCTGTAATTACAATGTCAAAGTACACCTCATTATCTCATTTATAAAATAGTCAGCAAAATTACCAAGTATAAAAATGTACTGTACATTTATTTTTGGTTTATTTACTGGGAAAGTCCAACTAATATGGGAGAGTTTCCATACTGAACTTGTTTGGAGGTTTTTGCTCATTTACTAATTTTTATACTTTCATACAACAGCTTAATCTGTGTTTCATTTGTTCATTAGTTTTTCAACATAAAACCAAAAATAAGAAAATGAAAAAACAACTATTTTCATTATTATTTGTCTCCAAAACCAAAATAAAAACAAAACAGATTACGATTCATTTTTTTCAGTTTTTGATTTTGTGTTTAAATGAATAATGGAAAAAAAAAATCATTTTTTTCTGATTTTTAAAAAGATTTCGTAACAAGCTTTAACACCAAACGCTTCCTCCTCTCTTCTTCTTCAGCTGTGCGATTTGGCCGTATCCCGAAGCGAGAGAAACAGCGCCTCCTGGACGAGATGCAGAGTTACATGAACAGTCTGAACGAGTCCTCCACCGTTGAGATGGAGCTGTCCCCAACTCCAGACACGCCCTGCAGCCCCCCTCCCCAACAACAACCGCCCAACGACCCTATCCCGCAATCCTACCGCCTCCACCCGGGCCCCCAGGATGAAAAACCCATCCTCAAGATGTCTCCCAGCAGCCACGGCACTTTCCATACCGGCCCGGAGCAGAATCAGTCCATCGCGAGCACGCAGACTCTGCACCAGGAGCAGCAACCCACGTCGAACTACCAGCAGATCTGTCCCAAGATCGAGAATACGTCCAGCTTAGACATCGATAACGGGAACTACGGCTATCACAGTCAGTGTCCAGTGACCGGCAGCATCGCGCCTCAGCCCTATCCGACCAATCACAACAGCTTTGAGACGCAAACACAGACGACGTGTCCATGGAAGCTTCACGCTGGGGCTAAAGTGCTGGTGAGTTGTTTATTTTAGTTTTAAACATCTATTTTAACACATAAAACGTCATTCTCTAGAACCTTTCACTGGAACCCTTCACCAGAACCTTTCACTAAAACCTTAGACTAAAACCTTTCACTAGAACCTGGACATTTTAAAAACTATAAAAGGTAACATGGCGATCTAAATATACAGTCTGTTTCAATAAATACCATATAGAAGTGTAATAACTCCTCTTTAACTAAGCCTATAATGTCTAAAATGAGCATAATAACTGAACTAACCTCCTTTCTCCAGGCGTGCCCTCTGAACTCGTGCCCCGTGGCCCCAGCCGGTCGCTCCAGTCAGGAGGTGTGGGAGTCCTTCTCTCAGTGCTTCACTCCGGCCGTTAAGGAGGTGGTGGAATTCGCCAAGAGCATCCCGGGCTTCCAGACGCTGAGCCAGCACGACCAGGTCATGCTGCTCAAGTCCGGCACTTTCCAGGTACATGAAGACCATCTGCAACTATTTCAGCTTTATTGTCTTATCTCTCAAACTATGTGGGTTGAGGACCTAAAGAGACAAGTTAGTTTAGCTTTACAGAGATTCAGAAGATGGCAACTATATAAACTACCTCTAAATACAATGTCCAAGTCTTCAACTTCCACAAACTAGGGTAGAATAAGACCAGGAGTGAAACAGGACGAGAGCAGGACCAAACCAAGTCTAGATCAGGACTAAACTGGGATCAAACCAGGTCCAAATCCATAGCACAATGGCTGCAATGATTATTCATGTTGGTTGCAGGTATCATTTGCTTTCATTTTGGTTTAGTCCTAGTTTAGTCCTGGGTTAATGCAGCTCTTGTGGAGTGTTCAGTAGACAATGTCTTTCAAAAGTCTTTTCTTACTAAAAATGTGGGTGTAAACCAAGCAAAGTTAAATCAATAGGCCTAAACTAGGACTATGAAGACTGAAGAAGGACTAAACCATTACAAATGTAGCTCTAGACCAGCTTTGAGCAATGGCATGACTCACAAACCTGGACTAAACCAGGAATTAGTAACTTCTAAACTAGGTCTAGTCCAAAGATCAAAGCAATTCCTCGAATCTATCTCTGTTGTGTTTCTCGTTTAATGACCCATATAAAAACATTGACATATATATGAATAACGAATCACAACACTAAACTGTCCCTTCCTCGTCAGGTTCTGATGGTGAGGTTCTGCTCCCTGTTCGACCCCAAAGAGCGGACAGTGACCTTCCTGAATGGGCAGACCTACGCCCTGTCCTCTCTGCGAGCGCTGGGCATGGGCTCTCTGCTCGACGCCATGTTCGACTTCAGTGAGAAGCTCGGGTCAATGGGGCTGGAGCCAGATGAGATGGCACTGTTTATGGCGGTGGTGCTGGTGTCTGCAGGTACGAGCAGGTTTCTCTTGTGCTTTGTTTTGTTTCACTTTAGATTAAACAAAATGGAGAAAGCCTTTGGCCAGGCTAGTATCAACATGTGTAAACAATAGTACAATCTTCACCCATAGGTTTATGTATGGAAAATATAATAAAATATAGGATACAACGATCCAGCTTTTTCAGTTCTGATACCGATATCTATACTTGCTTCAAGTATCTGCCATTACTCGATATTAACCGATACCAGTGCGAGGACAGAAAATGGCACTTATTTTCTTAAAACACAACACTTATTACACAATAGATCCAATAGTGTTATGTAACTGTTATGTATCCTTCAAATTATGAAAAGTTCAAACATTATGAGATGTTTTAGGCCAAATTCAGCCTGTAAATAGTCTTTTACATCAAATTAAAGGCCCACGCAGGATATCGACTTAACCGATATTATAGAAATAATACCCAATCCAGTAAAGATAGAGATAGTTTTTTTTTTTTACCAAACCATGCAGTCCCGTTTCCTTTTCGCTCCATTTCAACTAATATTTCCTTTTTTTAACTCCAGATCGTTCTGGCATCGTGGACACCGGAGCCGTGGAGCAGCTTCAGGAGAACTTGATAAAAGCCCTGCGCTCCCTCATCACCAGACGTCGCCCGGACGACAGCACCCTCTTCCCCAAACTGTTGCTACGGCTACCAGACCTCCGCACCCTCAACAACCAACATTCAGACAAGCTCCTCGCCTTCCGCATCGACCCGTGAAGTCAAAAGACTCAACACAAACTGAACTAAAAACCTGGGCCTAGTGAAGATTCGGAAACACGGCAGCGTAACTTTGCTTCCTTTTCCTGTCTGAATTGAGCCACGAAACCGTCCCGTGCATGTTGGGGCAGTAGTGGTAGGATAAAGCTATGGAAGTTGAACCAGTGCTCCAGCAGTAAAGAGGACTCAAACTCATGCACTCCACCCGAAAATGCTTCCACAGACTGTCTGATAAACTCTGTTCTTCCTTTGGGTGGTGCAAGACTGGCCTCCTTGGTCCAAACAGACAAAAACTAAAGCGATTTCGGAAGCACAACCTCCCTATACAGAATTCTATATGTACAAAATATGTTTTATTATTGTACATTCATGCTCTGAGTGTGACGCGCACCTTTCCATATATATTGACTATACTATTCAGTGCTTTTCAAACTGTTTGCATCAACTATCTAGAAAAGAAGAAAAGAAAAGATCGGGCTTCTTGGGCACCAATACAGAGACTTGTATTGAAACACTGTAAAATGGGGGTCTAAAACAATTTGAAATGGTTCAAATCGTGACAAAAATAGGAATGCACAGAGCCAATCCTGAAATATTACCCGGATTTGATATCCGGATTCAGGCGATATCATGGTTGGTCATAAAAATCGATGTAATAAGGCTTTTTTGCTGGTCGTAAGTGGCCCAAAAAGTCGAATTTGTGTTGCGCTGATACCGGTTGTTATCAGGCATCGGCAGACACTTAAAGCTACAGTATCGAAATCCGTATCGGAACTGAAAAGGCTGCATCAGTGCTCTGTAAATTTAAGCCCGGTCAGTCCAGGTCTAAAACCGGACAAAGATCGCTCAAAAATCACTAAACTAACCAGGAAGAGGAACTTGCAAATAACTTGAACGTAAGCGGACCTTGCACCACAGTTTGAGAAGCACTGGATTCTTATCATATAGCAATATAGATGTCTAACTCACGGTATGGAGGATGCTTTCTTTGTATATGTCCTTAATAATGATAATGATAATATAAGCTATTTTCACACGTCATCCTGTGGAATATCTTTATTGAAAAATCACCCATTTGTGATTGAGTTCTGTATAACATTTTTAAGAAATGAAAGTACGTTGCATTGTATTTGTATGCAGTAATCAGGGAGTACTACTTGGTCATTTTCGACCATATATCCGACATGAGGTGTTTGAGTTGTACATATAAAAATGATTATTCTTGGTTATTACTGTAGATTACGTGTAGAGATGTAGTATCGATTGATAATATGATGTTGACGTCATTTAAGGGTTTGGACAAAATTACACTCTGGAGATGTTTGACAAATATATATATATGTATGTTATGTCAATAGGTTGCGTTCATGGTCCAGTTATTTTATTTTCAGACAGAACAGAGAGCACAAGCTATTTACACAGAGCTCTATTTGTATGAAATGAGGAAATCCACAAATGTCGAACGTGGTAGTTGTAAGGGACTGGGTTCACAGACTCACTATCACAAAATCGATTTTTGCTGACACGGAAGATTTATAACTTTGAGTATTGACCCAGTAATTACAAAGATGTAACCATAAACCAGGTCAAAACATCTGCATTGTGACTCTTGAGAAACAAAATCAATTCTACAATCTGTCCTTCACTTCAATTTCCAACACTTTAGACATCGCACGAACGCAACCTATGGACGGCATAGATTTGCAGATATTTTGTAAATGTTCCAATGGTGTAGCGTACCATTATTAAACAACATTATACCGTAAATCACATTCTTGGTCTTGGGAGTTATGTTCTTTCTACATTTTGACAGTTCTTCCTGCAGGACATATAAGATAGAGCGGTAACCTAGCAACAGCAGCAATCAGCCAATCGCAGCACAGGACCGGGGACCATTAGAGACCATTACAGACTCCGAAATATCAGTGGACTGTTTAGAAAAGGCTGAAGGTGATATGCAAATGTGAAGAGACACTAGACGAGAAAGAATCTGGTGACCGAAAGAGGATGAAAATGACACAGTGAATCCACAACCACAGAAATCCGGTCTCTTAATAAATGTATAACGAACATTCAAGGCAGGAGCTGGTTTATATCTACAAAATAGTTTGACATGGACATAGTTTAATTGTCGCTTAGACTCAGACAAACTTTACTGAAAAAATATGATAATACATTCTAAATACACCGCAAAAATAACAAGAGACTGGTGTCAAATAAGGTTTTATAAATATATGTACAAGGAAAAGCAAAAATATAGAAATAGAGGTCATGAGGAGAAAGAGATGAAACAGTGACTGACGTGACACAGGGTTATATCTTACATAAAGGAGTCAACGGTGTAGAAAAGTGAGCTATATACAGAATGTTGAGTAAGAATAAAGTTCAATACAAATGATGAACCTTTGCTTATAATGAAAGTAATACTGGACAGGCTCATAAAAGCATATACAAATGTGAAGCGGCACTAGCCAATACTGCAATGGTGTCCAAACTTTTTTCATCAAGGGACACACACCTTCACACAGATGAAGCAGAGGGCCGATCGAGGGCTGTAGACTGGTGCTCAATACAGTGAATAATTGAAATATGTGCAGGTTAAATGGTCACAATTTTCTATAGCACGTTTTCACCTTCAAGGCAGTCAAAGCGCTTTACAACAAGGAACCACTCACCCATTCACACACCAGTGTACGCAGACACTATGGGCAAGGTGGGTTAAGTGTCTTGCCCAAGGACACAACGACAGCATTTATCTGTGGGAGCTGGAATCACACCAGCCAACCTGTGGGTCAGTGGATCTGACCACTCAACCTGTGATGTTTATGTCGAGAGCTGGATTTGAACCACCAACCTTCAGATGAGTGGGCAAATGCTCTACCAACTGAGCTACTGCCGCTATAAACACATTACAATGAGCCATCAGACTTTATTCACGCTAAGATCCTTAAAACCACACACTAAATATTCAATATTGGCTTTATCAAGGTAGATTTTCCAAAAACTTGCAATAAAAAGTTAATTTTTCATTGATGCAAGGTAGTTTGGGCCAAGTCTCCTGGAAGCCTGAGGGCCAAGAAAAATTTGTCTGAGGGCCACATTTGACCCACAGGTCATAGTTTGGACATGCCTGACATAGTGTTTTTTCTACAGTAAATATTTGAGAAGATATTTATTTTTGAATAGGAACAATGCACATGAATGAGCATCAGTATTAAAGAGCCCATATTTTCTGATGTTATAATGATGATCGTTCATCCTTCTATTTTCTGATGTTATAATTTTGTTTCCACTTGAAAAACTTAGCTGGAGTTGTGTTTTGTTTCATTCACACATGTTTAATACACAAACTCTGCAGATATAGGCTGAGTTATTTTCTCAAAACCAAAAACACTCTTGTGATGTCATATGGTAACACAGGAAGTGCTTCACCGTGTCTATACACTTCGACTAGTATCATTTGAACAATTTCAGCCTTGGAATTGCCAATCTCTAATGAAGTAAAGGTAAAATGAGCTGTTAATTTGAAAATAAGTGCTTGATGACATCACAAGGTGGAACAGAGCATTTTGAGCTTTGGAGATGTAGACAGACTAATAATAAAGGAATACTCAAACACGTGCAAATGAAAGGTAACAACTTTCTAACATGACTCAGAGCTCACAAGAGGCAGTTGGTGCACTATAGAACCTTTAAATAAAGATTAATGGGCCATTAGTGATGAGCTGTTCAATTGTTAACAAAAGTAAATATATATTACTAATGGGGTGTATTCCTGTAATAACTCAAGAGCCTATTCACAGCTGTTGAAGCAGGGCAGGAGGTAACTTTCATTTTACTGAGTCATTCTTCGACTCAGTGGGAAAGTAATCAAGAATATGGCTATATCAAATATTTTTAAAATTTTTACTACTTTTATTAGACTAGAATACTTAAAGTAGCCTGATTCTTCAGCCAGTTTCACTTTGTGGAAATCCGTGTTAGGATTTGTTCGCTCAATGATACGTGGGTACTTATTATCATTTAACCAATCGCTGCGCCACTATTGGGGCTAACTGGTATATTAAGCTTTTCCCAAACCCCGTAGGAAGAAGGACAATAACGTCTTTCCTCTTGATAAAATTCATGAAACATTCTTGTTGTTCTGGCTTTAAATCCTCGATCTCCGGAATCATTGCCAACACAGAATGTATGACTCTTTGCTAATTGGCTTGTTCCCGAAGTCGCACTTCCAGGGTTCTTGCAAACCGTCTAGTGTACTCTGCTTCCTGACCTAGTGACTGGAGAGAAATGAAATTGAGCAGAGGCACTAGGTGGCGCCAGCCTGGCTATACTTAAAGGGCCCATATTACACTATTTATTTTCTGATCTGTTATAATGTTTCCTCATCACAGACATGGAGTTGTGTTTTGTTTCATTCACACGTGTTTAACACACAAATCCTGCACATTTAGGTTTTCTCTCAAACAGAAAACGCTCTGTTTCTGAAGCACTCCACTGTGTTTTTGAACACAAATTGGACAATTTCACCCCTGGAATTGCCAATCTCTACTAAACTAAAGATAAAAGGTAGCTGTTCATTTAAAAACTACCACTTCATGACATCACAAGGTGGAATAGAGCATTTTGAGCTTTGGAGATTTAAGTAAGTAAGTCTGTATTTATTTCTATAGCACTTTCCACAGACATTTTCTGTCACAAAGACACTTTACAGAGCATTATTCATTCACTCTATACCTGGTGATGGTAAAGTACTATTGTAGCCACAGCTGCCCTGGCACAGACTGACAGAAGCGCGGCTGCCATGCCAATCGGCACCATCGGCCCCTCCAACCACCACCATCACTCACACACCACACACACCACTTTCATACTAGGCAATGTGGGTAAAGTGTCTTGCCTAAGGACACAAGGACAGTTATTGCCACTGGCGCCTCACTGTAGCACCTGATTTTCCCAGTGGTCTCCCATCCAAGTACTAACCAGACCCGACCCTGCTGAGCCTCTGAGATCTGACAGGATCAGGTTTTTACAAGCCAGTATGGCCACAGATGTAAACAGACTGGTTTTTCAAACATGTGTGAATGAAACAAAACACAACTCCAGGTCTGTTTTTGAGGAGGTAACAACATTAAAACACAACTAAAAGCTCAAAGGAGTCTATTTTGCTTAACACAGGACCTTTAAAGTGTTCAGATATTCAAAATGCCACACAAGCTCTTCTGTGGCTCAGATTCCATGGCTCAGATGTGAAGAAGAATTCCCCCAGTGCTGCCTCCACCCCCTGCTCCTGACAGACCGCCCCAGCGGAGTTAAAGAAAGGGTCAAACACAGAGACCCAATTACCTTGACGTGACCCACATAGAATTAACACAGTGTCCTCAACCCTTCACAATGTCACGTATCTTTGAGTGGATATAAAAAAATAAAACTGAAAATATTTTTAGATCGTTCACCTTGAGATAATGCAACTTCACCAGAACAACTGTCAGGCTGTTCTTGAGGCTTTGCTCTACTCACAGTTTCTCAGTTTTGCATGGCTATAACTCAGGAATAAAGATCGACCCATGCGTTTTTTCATAGGTGATGCTGATACCGATTAGAAACTGATCGCCAATGACCTCTGACAATATTTTTGGGCTGATATGAGTTGATTTTGGTCATTTTCCCCAAACGATCAAAGTATAATTTAGTACAAACTCATCCGCAACCTTTTTTATTTATCCAATGTAGTCACGTTTTTGGAGGACTTTCTTTGGACTAAAATGTTCAAACGACACTTTATGCTGATATTATTGAGGCATATTAAGACAAACAAAATATCGGTAATTTCTGGAGATTTATGGACGATATACAATACGCTAAAAAGGGCAAATATCGGTCACATATATCGGCCAATTGATATATATCATTCTAGCTCTAAAATATTGTATTGTAAGTTTAGGAAAACCCAAAAACTAAGAGTAAAGTTGGGAAAAGTTGGGGGTCTGTCACTTGATTGTTTCTATGGAGATGTCATTGCTCTGCCTGGAATGTTCCACAGTGTGACATTAAACAGTTCTACTTTACATTTATTCAATTACAGGTGGTTTTAGAGCTCAAAAATACCTAGAAAAACACATTCTGACTATGAGCGGGGTCGCCTCTCCGCAGATCTGACCTGTAACTTGGTCTGGTTTGGTCTCCGTGAAGATAAAAAGGTTTAAATGCCATACTGTGAAATATTGAAACATTCCAGACAAAGCATTTTCTACTAGAAAAGTTACACAGTGTAACTTAACTTATGACTATTCACTTTTTTTATCCTATTAAATGCACTACACTTTATTTTTCCCATGTATACGAGAAAAATATCGTATAAGTAGGAGTGATGTAACAATAATCAAAATATCGTGATATCGTATTGTCAAAAGTCTCACAATAATACCGTGGACTCCTTAAATTCATGGTTTTATAGTAGCAACATCTTACAACCATTGGGAACTACATATCCCATGATTCATTTCAGTGAAGTCACAGTTTTTTACTTGAATTCTTGGGATTATGACGGAAATAATTCCAACCAAAATCTTGTCAAAGTATTTTAAAAGTAAAAATGTGTCTACAATTATCTGCAATTATATGAGTCTCTTCAAAATATCGCAATAAATATCATAATATCGTGAGATGCATATCGTGATAATATCGTACAGAGAGATTTGGATATCGTTGTATTCCTAATAAGCAGTTGCTGTGGTCAGTAAGCCGAATATGTAGCCTGATTCATCAGCTG